TAAGAAAGCAAGCTGCCAGGTCCGAGACTCGAACTACAGTAGGCCATGTGGGAGTCCAGCACCCTCAACCACCATGCCATGTGCCAGCCCCACTTCTAGGGATTATTGAATTTTACAGGGTAGTTCTATACCTTCTCAGTTAAGGTTTAATTCATCTCTTACTATTTCACTGACTAAATAATCATAGTAATTTTGGATGATATCTATTAGTCATTTACTGAGTATCTTCTAATTATTTTTCAATGTCTTTTTCCAAATGGCTTAGCTTCTTCTCACATTACATGAACAAGAACTGTTTCCATGTTAACATCCATATTCTAGGCAATTTCCACCTATACTCCCCTTATTCAACATGTTCTGTAAGACTCTGACTCATTTGTAAAGATTTGATACATTGGGCCAGCCCCATAGCTTTAGTTGCTAAGAGAGCCAGATCTCACATGGAGAACTGTGGTTTAAATCCTGACCCCCACAGGTTGAAAAACATGCTGGGTGCCTGTGTGCCCATACCCAAAATCATGATTGGAAGGAGAAACAGAGGAGAAGGAATTGTGGCTAACCACCCTTCCAAACAGGGGTGCTTTCTTCCTCTTCTCTCTGTTTCTCTCTGGCGAGTACACATGCTTCTGGTAATTAAAAATATATATATATTTAAAACATTATTATGTTAGAAAAACACAATATCTCATAGAAAAACAAAAGTCTAAGGAAAACAGATAATATAAGAAATGTATCACTTCATCTCTCAACATGTACACATGTATAACATTAAGATTAAATGTTTTTTGTAAAACAAATTTAAATTTATTTAAAGTCCAATAAGGATGGCTTTTACTAAACAGTACTCTGTCCACTAATATGCTGATGAAAAATCAATGTCTACCAAGTAATAGTGTAGTCAATACAGTGAACTGAAATAAGCTAAACATTTGAGAAGCACAGAAATGAACAATGAAGACAAGTCAGACTGAAACATAAAAGTATGTGGGAGAAAACATATATACATACTCAACTACAACTATGTGCATTAAGAATAAAGAAATATTCACTATGACTATGAAACTACACTCACTATGGAATTTCCACTCTTGACCTATGTTAAATATCTTACCAAACTCTATCTCTAGCTCAAGCCTTTTGTCCAAGGTCCAGATCAGTATACATGGAAGTACCTCTTGAAAGCCTTAGGGTCCAAAATAAGCTCATAAAGCAAAAATTGCAATGAGAACAACCCATGAAAATTCTTTATATTGCATATAAAAATAGTATCTGTAGTTGTCTATAAATAATCCTGAATAGTAAACATATCTACAGATAATTGTAAGAAACTTATCTACAAACATAAGGTATAAAATACCAGTAACATGTAGTTTATAAAGATCACATGAGATACACAATGCCCTTACTATTATTTCTAATTTTATGAAAAAGAGTGTGTAAAGTTGATAAAAACTAAATGCACATATGCTGTGACTCCATGTATCCAACTGCCTCATGAACATATATGCCTGCATGGACAAGGCCATTCAAATTCAACATGTTCAAACTGGAAGATACCAATTCCCATTCCCAAGCCAGTTAAAAAAATAGGCTCTTCTCCTTATACTCAATACCTTTTCACTGGTTTATCACACTGTCTCCACACCAGGCCTTGGTTAATGCATTACTATCCCTCAAAAACAATTCTCATGTCACTTTCTTTCTAAAGACCTTTACTAACCTCTCTAAAATCCAAATGCCTTCAAATTCTGATCCCAACTAACACCTCCAATCTCACCTGCAGTTTCTCATTTCTCTAAATGTCAGCTACAATTACTTCCTACCATTTTTGTACCTTTGTACATACTGGCTCTCTACCTAAAAATATCATCTTTTCTGTGAAATCCTTACCAATTTTCAATAGTAGTACTTCATTCATTTTTCTGTGCTTCAGGATACTCTGTTAAATCTCAATTATAAATCCTACATTGTACAGAAATTATTTACATGTTTATCTTCCCCATTAGACTATGAGCTTCTTGCTAACTCATCTTTGTTATTCCCTGAGCCTAGTAAAACAAAGGAAAATAAAAATGAAAAGCTAAGGAAGATGGGTGGGTGCAGTCAGCAAAGGTTCGAGCAGGGGTTACTCATAAAGGTTTTCAGTAGAGGGGGAAGGGACATATAAGAACTACCAGGGCCAGAACGTGATTTATTTATTTGATTTTTCACTATTACAAACACAAGGCCCAGAGAAGGACCTGGCATATTATGAGCACTCAATCTGTAATTGCTGAATGAATTAATATTAGTCAAAAAAAAAAAAAAGACACTTGAGATGGATATATATATAGATATATATATATAGATATATATATATACACACACACACACACACACACACACATATAAATCCCCAACAGGAAGTAAAAGAGTAACAATAGGTAGCTTTGTGGTTAAAAATACATTTCAGGGGACAAGCAGTTGGCATAATGCCTATGTCACTGGACTCCCATGTAGTCGATTGAGGTTCGAGTCCCAGACCTGGTGGCTTAAACGCACACCAGGTGCGCATGCGTGTGGGCCCAAGATCCTGAAAAGAGAATGGAGGAGAAGGGATTGCAGCATGGCCATCCCCCCGGTAGGGGATTTCTCGCTTTTTGTCTCTCGTCTCTCTCTCTGTCTTTCTGGCAAGTGCGCGCACCCTATAGTATAAACCTCTCAAAAAAAAAAAAATTTCAGGGCAGTCCCATGGCCTAGTGTTTAAGAGAGGTAAGTTCCACATGGCAACCCCACAGTTTGAATCCTGGCCCTGCAGGCTTAAAAAACACACCGGGTGTGGTGCATGTGTGCTTCAAATCTCAACAGGATAGAGAAATTGAGGAGGGATCATGGCATGACCATGCCCCCTTGGAGGATGCTTTCTTTCTCCCCTTCTCTGGTGATGCACATGCCCTCTGGCAATCAAAAAAAGAAAAAGAAAATTATATACAGAACAACTGTTGGGAGGATGTGGAGAAATCAGAACCCTTGTGCACTGCTGGGAGGAATGTAAAATGGAACAGGTGCTACGCAAAGTAGTTTGGTAGTTCCTCGAACAGTTAAACATAGAACTCTCATAAGACCCAGTCATTTCACTCTTGGGTATATACCAAGAAGAACAGAAAGCAGGGACTCAGATACTTTTACAACAGACAAAATATAGAATACACAAATGATGGAGTATCAATCAGCTACAAAAGGGAGTGAAATTTTGACAAATGCTATAACATGGATCATCCTTGAAAACATTATGCTAAGTGAAATAAGCCAGATACATAAGGCCAAATACTGCTATTATTCCTATATATAAGGAACCTAGAATATGCAAATTCGTAGACACAGAGGTTACCAGGGGCTGGGGGAAATGAGAATGGGTGAAGAATTTTTTGACTGGAATGATAAAACAAGTCTGGACATAGTATTGATGGGTACACTATTTAAACAGTATGTAATACCACAGAACTGAACACTTACAATAGTTATATATATATATACACACATACACTACAATAAAAATAAATTATAATTCAGACTTTAATTCATCAGTCAAAGACTTAAATAATCTAAATAGCAGAATGATTATTTGTATCAACCAAATATCAAAAATATTTACATATAAAAACAGAAAATGTAAAATTTGTAGAATTAAATAAACACGAACCTCCCACTCGGTAATTACATTTTTCAGCTTCTGGATTTCTGCATCTTTCCTTTCAAGTTCCAACTTTAGTCTTTCAATTCTTCCATCTTTCAGAACTACTTCCTAAAAAATAAAAAATTATTTTAGTATTAAGATCGTCCAGTCAGTACTGGTTTGCCCTATTCCTTTGTGAAATGATAAAGAGGAAAAAAAAGTTATTTATTATTGGAGATATTTTTTGCTATAGGGTGTGTGTTCTCACTGGAGAGAAAAAGAGAGACAGAAAGCAAGTAATCAGCCCCCAGAGAGGAATGGCCACACCATAATTCCCTCTCATCCATTCTCCTCTCAGAATTTTGGGCATATACACACATGCGCCCAGTGTGAGTTTTAAGTCACCAGGTCTGAGACTTGAACCATAGTCAACTACATGGGAGTCCAGTGACATAACCATTATGCCATCTGCTGGTCCCAAGAGGAAAAATCTTGATTTTAATTAATTTTCTGAGGCAACCTCAAACTGTTGACTACATTCCCCCTTTACTCAGTGAAATAATATTAATTACATATAGTGTAAGCAATTAAGATGTTTATAATTAATCTCAAACTACAAACATACCTTTGAACAATATTAAGGCTTTGAAATAATATTTCTATCCTGGAATAAACATATTAAAAGTGCTTTATGACAAGCTTTTTTATTAGCCTATCTTGGAAATCCAAGACAATTGAAATAAGACTAAAAATACAAAATAAATAATAAGTACAAAACAAAAAAATAATAGCTTTTCTCTGTAACAGCAATTACCAGGTAAAAACATAACTATAAAACTAATTTCTCGCTATCAGCAGTAAAATGTATCTGGAAGAGGGCCAGCAAGTGGCATAGTATTTAAGGCAATTGGCTCCCACGTGGTCGATCATGTGGCTGAACCCTGGATCTGGCTTGAGAAACACATGTGTGTACGTGTGTGTGTGTGTGTGTGTGTGTGTGAGCACTCCAAGTCCTGAAAGGAAGGCAAAATGGAGGAGAAGGGATTGTGGTGTGATCATAACCCATGGAAGTGTTTCCTTACTCTGCCCTTTCTCTTTCTTTGTCTCTCTCTGGCAAACACATGTGCCCTCTGGCAAAAACGATAATGACAAAAAACAAAGAAACAGAAGAATAAAATTAAGAAATATGTGGGACCCATACTAATAAATTTATAAAATGTTGACAATGACATAGAACAAACTATATTTGTAGATAGGAAGGTTAAATATTACTTTGCAAGTTTAATACAATTTCAATAAAAATTCCAATAGGATCTTGTTCTTTAGAATGTGGTAAATCAGGGGACCACCAGCTGTGTAATGGCTATGTCACTGGACTCCCATATAGTCAACTGCGGTTCAAGTCCTGGACCTGGTGGCTTAAACTCACACAGGGTGCCGGTGCGTGCGTGCCCAAGATCCCGAGAGGAGAATGGAGGAGAAGGGATCACAACGTGGCCATCCCCCCTGTGGGGTTATTTCTCACTTTCTGTCTCTGTTTCTCTCTGTCTTTCTGGTGAGTGCACGCACCCTATAGCAAAATCCTCTCCAAAAAAAAAAAGAATGTGGTAAATCAGTAAACACTTTCTCAGAAGAGAAACAAACAATTAATTTGATGAAGAAGGATTTACATATCAAATAATCATATACTCTAAAGCAAAAAACAACTAAAATAGTACCACGTGGCCCATAATGTAACATTCCCCTAAGGAATATGAGTATATGAGTCCATTGTAAAATGGAAGGTAATATGAATCCATTGTAATATAAAGGTTTTGTTTTATTTTATTTTTTAAGAGATTTTTGCTATCGGGCGCGTGTGCTTGCTAAAGAGACAGACAAAAAGTGAGAAATCACCTCCCCAAGAGTGTGGACATGCTGCAATCTCTTCTCCATTTTCCTCTTCAGATTTGGGGCATTCACACACGCGCGCCTGACATGAGTTTCAGGATGTGAGGTTCAGGACTTGAATTGTGGTCAACCATGCAGGAGTCCAGTGATGTAACCATTATGCCATCTCCTGGTCTCCTTTAACTTTTTTTTCCCCCAGAAAGCCCTTTTAATTGTTCCTTCAAGCTCAAATCAGACAATATTATTACTGAATTACGGTGGAAGCAGTATAAATGGAAAAAAGTACATTTGAGAAATAATTTGGAGACAGAATCAATAGAGTTTGATGAGGGGTTGAATAAGGAAGGTCAACAAGATGAATACCTAATCTAATCCAAGTTTCTTTTTTGGGTGGAGAGGTTTTTGCTATAGGGTCCATGTGCTCACCAGAAAGACAGAGAGAGACAAAGAGACAGAAAGTGAGAAATCACCCCCTGGGGGGGAGATGGCCAAGCCGCAATCCCTTCTCCATTCTCCACTTGGGATCTTGGGCTCTTGCGCCCAGCGTGAGTTTAAGCCACTGGATCTGGAACTTGAACTGTGCAGTAAACTACATGGGAGTCCAGAGACATAGCCATTACACCAACTGCTGGTCCCAATCTAATCCATGTTTCTAGCTTAAGAAATAAGAGGGGCTGGCAGGTGGCATGGTGGTTAGGGTACTGGACTCCCACATGGTCAACTGCAGTTCCAGTCCAGGACCTGGTGGTTTGCTTCCTCACTTTTCCTTTCTCTTTCTCTAGTCAAACTAATAATAATAATAACAAATAATTTTAAAAAATAAATAAGGTGAGTAGATCAAAATTAGACATATACTACTATTAGGCTCAGCAATCTCACTTCTATGAATTTATCTCAAATAGGTAAGTGGGGGGAGGGGAAGTATACATGAGAGTGTTCATTACAGATTTATCACAACAGAAAATTAAACACCAATTTAAATATACAATAGGATATAGCTAACTACATGCTAAATCCATAAAACTAAAAACTCTGGAGTCACTATTACTATGATGATACAGAATTATAAAATACATTTACATGATCCCCAAATGGTAGTAATACATGTAAAGAAAAATTCTGTAAGGACACACATCAAAATTTTAAAAACAACTATCTTCAGACATAGGTTTATAGCTTTCACTTTAAAAATTTCCTTGTAGGTTTACTGCTTTCACTTTGTTTAAAAATTTCCTTTTATAAAAATTATTTTATACTGAATATGTAAGAAAGGGATAATATAAAACACTATTTTAGTTTAAACAAAAAAAAAGTGTTTTGGGAACCAGCAGTTAGCGTAATGGCTATGTCGCTGGACTCCCACGTAGTCGACCGCGGTTCATGTCCCGGACCCGGTGGCTTAAAACTCACGCCGGGCGCGTGTGCGTGCGTGCCCAAGATCCCGAGAGGAGAATGGAGGAGAAGGGATTGCGGCATGACCATCCCCCCTGGGGGGTGATTTCTCGCTTTCTGTCTCTATGTCTCTCTCTGTCTGTCTGGTGAGCGCATGCACCCTATAGCGAAAAAACCTCTCCAAAAAAAAAGTGTTTTTAAAATCTAGATGAATATGACTATCATCTTTGAATAAGAAAGCCCTTCTGAAATTGACACCAAAAGGTCGAGAAAACAAAAGGTTCGATAGATTTAACTTAATGAAAAATCGCAAAAACTACTGTATTAAAATTAGAAAGTGAGGACAGCAGGTGATAGAGTGGTTAAGATGCTAGACTCCCACATGATCCCCAAATGGTAGTAATACGTGTAAAGAAAAATTCTGTAAGGACGCACATCAAAATTTTAAAAACTGGTTGCTTGAAACTCACATTGGGCACATGTGTGTGTGTGTGTGTGTGTGTGTGTGTGTGCCCAAAATTCCAGGGGAAAAAAGGAGAAGGGATTGTGGCATAGCCACCCCGCTGGAGGGTGATTTCTCCTTTTGCTTCTCATTGTCTGTCTCTCTCTGGCAAGTTCACACACCCTGTGGCAATAATCAAACCAAACCAAAACAAAAAAAAGGTAACTGTTCGGTGTGAAACATGCCCTAAGAAAAACAAAATGCTATGGGTTTATGAAAAAGAAAAAAAGAAGGAAAGATACACAGGTTTTCTCGTTTTGGTGTTTGGAGTTGGGCAGGGGCAGTGAGAGAAAGTTCTATGAAGACAGCATGAGAAATGAACCGTGAGCAACGATGAGAAGGGCTTAGCATTGTGATAGGACTGGTCTGCTCTATCTACAGAAATTTGGAAGAGTACATACAGGTGAAGTTAATTAGCTGAGGCCACCCTGTAGAACAATGATTTTAAACTTATTTGACAGTGACCCATGATAAGAATGTTTTATATTATGACCCAGAATATACATACATGTCAGTGTATGTATACACATATGTGTATATGCTGTTCATAAAATATAAATAGGTGTCACAAACATATTCTACTATACCATTCTGAAAATTTTCTAAGTGCTGGTAGCAATCTACTAAATCGATTTTAGGACTATTAGGTTGGGAAACTCAGCACAATCCAAAGACTTTAATGTATTTAATTCAACAGACTTTGAAGTTTAGGACACAGGATGGCATGTGGAAGTCATGCTTTATCAAGAGGCATCTGTTGGTGTGTAAGATAAATTATGTGGCATTAAAAACAGGAAACAAAAATATTGGGTTAGATTACTGAAATAAGACCAGTAAGAGATAGAGAGGACTTAGAGAAATGCTAGTGAGAATGGAAGACGTATTTGAGAAATATTTCAAAGATTTAAAACTCTAAAATGCTGAAAAACAGAAGAGTGAAAAATGAGGTTGAAAGTCTGGATACCTCAATAAAACCAAAATCAGAAATAACCAAATGCTTGATTTTGAGAATAAGATGGTAAAGTTTGGGGTTGAACACAGTGAGTATAAGGTATCCACAGAACTAAAGGGTGGGATATGCCACAGAACAATTAATAAAACAGTCCCCCAGGTCGCAGGAGGGAATGAGATCAGGAGCAGCAGATCTATCCATTGCTAGCAAAGTTGTGAAGAAATCAGTAAGCACACAAGCAGACACCTGCTGCTAGAAGACAATATGCTGATACATATCAAAAGCAATACAGATGTTTATATCCTTTGGCTCAATTACCATTTTAAAAAATTTACTTCAACGAAATAATTCACACAAAAATTTAATGTATAAGGATTTTTCAGTAAATATCAA